GTTAAAGGCAGAGAGTGAAATTCAGTGAATACACGTAGTTTACAGAGATGCTGTATTAGAAACCAATGTGAGTTTGGAAAATTGCACAATATAAATCTATTCTAGTAGACCTCAACAATGGAATTATGATCAGTGGAAATGGCCATGACATGGGCCCTTTAACATTTGCTGATTTCTATGTTTCATTTGAATGTCATGCTTCCAGCTGGAGGTCAGAGAATCGTGTCCTCACCACGCTGCTGTCAGACTCAACAGTTGTTCCATGATTCACTGTCACATTTGTCTCTAGGTGACATCATCACTACAGTCTGTTGCTGTGCTCTTTCATTTGAAGAAGAAATGTGTTAAGATTAACAAATATTATCAGAGCTGCGTGATTTCATTAAGCCCGTGTCAAACTGTCCCGAAATTGACACCAGATGGACACGCGATAAAGGAAATGTTGAAATTCGGCTCTGATCATAACAACATCGGGCCATTCGTGAGGGCATCTTAAGCCTTCCTATGACCACCGGTGGAGTTTCTCAGGCTTTTTTCCGGCAGCAACTTTGTGAGCGGTGGCAAAATCTTTGGCATGCGAAGGTTCATTTTCGTGTTGAATTCGTGTGTCCATTTTGCCCTTCGTAAGGCCATCGTGAGGGCATCTTGTCAAATCTTGTCAAATCGTGTCATCTTCGTCTTTACTTCGTGTGATCATCGGTGCCATCGGGCATTTTTCGCCTCACAAAGACGATACGAAGGCCAATTATGGAGGAAACCAGTTGTAAGATGTTTAAAAGTTCATTAAACATAATATATGCTTAAATGCCGTTGCTTTCATCATGTTATTTATACATTATAGTAAAAGTCAAAAGTGTCTTGTGTTTTAACACCAAATAAAATAAGATAATATATAACAAAAATGTACTTAAACCAACACGGTTATTGTGTTGTCTTATTTTTCTTTTTCTTTTTTTTTCCTTTTTTCTTTTTTTTCTCTTTTTCTTGGCTAGACGTTCCTTTTGTATCCGTGTGACCACAGGAGTTACGAAGGACAAAAGTGTTACGAATTTATGTTCCATCAGTAGTTGACGATGACCTAAACGGCTATTCCTCGTCCAGTGTTTATCGTTTCTTTTTACCTGGTTTCACTTTATTCGGTTAATAAATGGCCATTTCATCCCTCTACACGCATACCCAGAAGGCCATTTCTCACGGAGTCCTGACTCCTTCTTACCGAGACTCCGACCGGACAATATACAGGTGCAATGGTACGTGTTCGTACCCTTTTTGCAGAACATTCGCGATGAGGTTTAAGCCGACAGGAGGCGGTGTGGAACCAGGGCGGAGGAGCTACAGTAGTATGATATTTTGCTACCGATGTGCTGCGCGTAACGTTTCCCGGAAGTGCAATCCTTAGCTGGGCGTGTACCGAAAAAGTTCCGGCATATGGCTAATATTATTAGTTCCTCTGGCTATTGGCTATTAAACCTTCGCTAATATGTAAACGTCAATTTTAGTCTTTTTAGAAAACCCACAGTTTTGGTTTTTTTTTTTTTTTTTTTTTTTTTTTTTGTTTTTTTTTTTTTTTTTTTTTTTTTTTTTTTTTTTTTTTTTTTTTTTTTTTTTTTTTTTGTTTTTTTTTTTTTTTTTTTTTTTTTTTTTTTGTTTTTTTTTTTTTTTTTTTTTTTTTTTTTTTTTTTTTTTTTTTTTTATTACATCCTTATTGTGTTTGAGGTCTGTGTTGGANACACACACAAAAATTCCATGTGTTGTATGTAATTATTAACAAATATACTAAGTCTGACATCTTCATTGACATTTTACAATCAAAGGGAACATCCCCAAAAAATGGGAACATCCTCTAATAAGCTCACTAAACAAATATCGGTTCACAGAAATGTTATTTCATTTTTACAAGTGGCATGTTTGTATTGAACAGGTTATTAAACAGTGGAATAAAACTATTTTAAACTATTGGAAAGCACGGAAAATGTCTGTGTATTGAGATTAACCATTAAGATGACATAAACATGAAGTCATGAACACTAACCCAGACATTAGTTGTCTAACTTGAACCTAAAACACTTGTAGCCAGTCTCTGCATTCAATAAGGGGAATGTCAACAGACACCTGTCAGCCCGCACTCTGCTGTTCCTCAGCGCCACTCCCCCTCCCTCCCGCTGAAATTATGAATGAAAAGTGTAGTAATCATAGATAACACGGCAGGGTCCGTGACAGTTTGTTTTCATCTGATTTCAAAAAAACAAAGTCTTGGTTTTAAGAATATTAAACTTGTTTCGCCAAATTCAGATGATAAATACAACTTTTAAGCTTGTAAAGGCATAATTACAAGCGGTAACTTAACGTCACAGCAGACATAACAACAGCAGGTGTTTCTTGTGAGGGTTTCCCCGGGAAACAAACACAATACACACAAATGCGTCAGAGATTATTTTGCGGTATTTGAGATCATGTACGCAGCTCGCGACGTAACTAGGAGTCTAGTGGACGGTATTAGTACTACAAGTAAAACCATTTATAACATTTTTTTTATTTTTTATATCAATTGTTTATAAATTAATCTAAGGGCCGCATGCGGCCCGCGGACCGCCATTTGCCCATCCCTGATCTAAAGTGACAGAGAAAACTATTTGACAGCAGTGCCGCAACACAGTTGAAACCTCCTAAAACTTGGTTTGTGTTTGTTTGTATATTGTAGAATATGTGCTTCAAATGCACTCAAAAGGCACTGAACTGCCTCATTTGTAAAACAGTTTTATACAAGAGTTTTCCAAAACTGCTACAATATTATGTCATATTGTTTACCCTGCCTACTATCAACAGCTTGTTCAAAGTTCACACTTGGAAGTGTAAAGAATGCTTTTTTTACCCACAATTTGCACTTGCTTATGTAGCTATCCTATAAATGCTCTCAGCTCTTTGGGTTTATGCTTGAAAGCTAAAATCGGTTTCAACACGTGAAAGGCTTTTCAAAAGGTTACGATTATCTGTTGTTGTATCTTTCAAAGCACAGAGTCTTTCTTCAATGTTATATTGGAGCTTTGCAAACAAAATGTCTCCATCGAGTGTGCCAAATCCTTAGTCACTCCATAACTGAGTCACATACTTATTTTTGGGCTTCTCAAAAAAGAATGCACGAAATATCCCCAAAACTCAGCATACAAATACATTGTAACGATGTAATCCCTTGGGGAAATGTTTGAGGCAATGCCTTTTGTTCAATTGTATTGTTCCCAGTAATTATTTCATAAACATTGAACACCCTGTTTGTTCGTTGTTATAACATCATAGTTCTTCCTTGTTTTTGAACTTTTCGATGTATTAAGCTAAAGCTATAGAAAAAACTCTTCTTTGCCTCTTAACCACACGCAGGTCAACTTGAGATCACAAGCTGGTTTTTACTTCAACATCATACTGTACATGTTATTGCTGTGAGATGTCAAACACATGACCATGACCTGAGTCTGCTGCATTCCCCTTTAAGAAAATGTGTCATTTTCTCCCCATTGTCAACCATATAAATGCCTGTAAAATGAGTAGTGTGTTTATGTAAGACCCGGCTGGATCACACAGACTCATTGCAGTCACTACTGCTCTCACAGAAAGCCTTGTGATGCACACATGAAGAAACAATATATAGGAAACATGGGGTGATCTACATCTACCCAGCCTAATGTGTCACATTCTGTAGTAGAACACGTCTTTGTTTTCTCACATGCACATCTTTTCCCCCATGGCTTTGTTTGCTATATGTTACATGCATTTTAAAACCACCAGTACCAGCAGTTTTTGCGTCATGTACCATAATGAATAGAGATGTAACGCATGGTCTGCCCTTCTCCCAGCATCCCTTAGGATTTGCAGGCATACTAACTGGCAAATTTGTTGTGTGATTTTGTTTTTCATTAAACCACAGCAATACGTATTTACGAGGCATCTTTGTGGCTTGAGCTAAATGGCAACATGTTAGAAAGAATGAAAAAGACTTTACATAATGTCAAGCTTGCAAGATATAGAAATAATTTACCATTATCTGTGGTTAAACTATTGCAATCATCTTATGTGCCGTGACTATGATGCAGGCTACAGTAAGATTTGGGCAGTGTCAGTGCGTTGCTATGGTTTTTCAACAGTTCCTTCTTAAGTTTTTAGTAAGGGATAATGTGCAATGAGCCGGTCATTCATGTGATGATCAGGATCCCAAGAGCAACGTACATTGAAATGATGGCAGTGCTGATGGAGGTTTTTTGTAAAAGTATTTTCAAATTCTCTTTTCCATTACCAGACCATACCGTGTTCCTGTTAGTGTTTACTTCCTGTCTGTTTTCTTCTGTTGATTTCTCTGACGTCCAGCGCTCTTTTATTCTCTTTCCTTCTCTTTCCTTCTCTTGTTCTCTTTTTCTTTTCTTTACTGGTGACGGTTTAACCATCATGAATCGTAAATGTGTTTGTTTTCTTCAAAAATATAAAAGTGAATATTCAAAAATGATCCCAAGGTCGAGATTGCTATCCACAGCTGACGTTAAAATGACTTCTTTCTGTGTATTGACTGCACATAGTCCCTTGATTCTCCTTAGTAGCAGTCTGTTAGCGATAATAAACAACCTCTGACCAACCTTTGACCAATCAGAATTGAGTATTCAACTTAGCTTTGTAAAAAGCTGTGTTTTACAGTTAGATTAAAAATGATCAGCAATGAATCTATCAATCAAATTGTATTTATATAGCCCAAAGTCACAAACTACTCATTTATCTCAGGGGTTTGCAGCATTGGACACTTGTAAAACTCCAAAGAAAACCAAACAATGGGGAACAATTGAAGAAACCTCAGGGAGAGCAGCAGAGGAAGATCCAATATGATAACAACAAAGACAATCCAAATGACTTAAATGATATTGTGTTAATCAAATAAATGGATCATTGTTATTTTGACAATCTTTCAGGTGCCGCTCAAAAATATTGCAATCGATCATGCTAAAACCGTCCTCTCTTTCCTCATGTGTTTCCAGGCGCGTTACAAACAGAGCCTGGACCCCACAGTGGACGAGGTGAAGAAGCTGTGCACGTCGCTGAGACGCAACGCCAAAGAGGAGCGGGTCCTTTTCCACTACAACGGCCACGGGGTGCCGCGGCCCACCGTCAACGGAGAGATCTGGGTCTTCAATAAGGTAACACACACAAACGAGAGCAGTAGCCATTGACACCTAAAAACCCTACCTATCTGTTGCTGAGATCACAAATGCAACTATAATGTGATTAAGGAAATAATCAAATGAAACGCTACTCTCATTAGTTTGCCCAGTTGTTAGTCATATAAGGAGTTCACATGGAGTGGGAACATCCGGCCTTATGTAATCATTTGTATTTGAAAGGAGCTTATGGCACTTGTAGTTACCTCACTAATGCATGGAGAGCTGTCAAATTATGAAACCATAAAAAGGTCAATTCTTACTATTTAGCAATGATTGGTCTGCTTGGGATTAACGGTGTGTTACAAGTTACGAAATAGGATCATGTGAGAACTTGGACAATTAATATGGTGAAATGACTTAACAATTAACATATCATAATCATATTGCAAGTTGAGAGACATTCGACTCCATTTGTCCATGGTTGTTCTGAGAATTTCGCTTTCGACCCTTTTGAAGGTTTTAATAGGGCAAGATTAAAAATGTGTTCAGATTGGCCATCAAATCTAGACCACCGTTGAATTAGGCCCTCCCTGAGACCTGGGATGTTATCCTTATACCTGCTGCAGGGTTTGGGTTACAGACCATATATCTGTTGTAACGTTGGGTGTGTCTTCAAGGATAGATTTTGCACCTTGTGAAGGAGGTTGGTATAGCACCCGTCTAGACGTTGGTGGAGCATTGAGGGATCAGGTCTTGGAGCCATAAACAATGATTGCCTCAACGATTGTCCTGATCATATTAACATTTATTGCATTCAGCAGGTCATATCGTCATATTTTGTCCACTTTAATGCTACTGCCCAGGCTTTGGCTTTTTGAGATTAGAAGTCTTTCACATATTCCATGATGTATGATATTGTGATACATGATGTATGTCCCAGGTATTTGAAATCATTGACCAGTTTGAGAGGGGTTTGTGCCGTTGAGATGAAGTTGATGCAGTAAAGCCCCCCCACCACCACAGCAGCTAACTGCATCTGTGATGTTAGGGTTGGGACTTGCAAATCAGACATAACATCTTGAGTTTTTCATGTCCCTGTCCTATAAGTAAGCACCTACTCACAATGATGCACCGCCGCTGTCTGGGCTTACCCTACCTCCATGTCCTCAGCACACCCCCGGGCCTGATGTCTTCTTCTCCTCCCTTTCCCTCCATATTTCCCACCTTTATACTTATACCCAGGGGTTAAATTGGGCCGGGGCTGTCCGGGGCTAAGCCCCGGCACATAGGATGATGCTCTGACATCATCACCCTCGCAAATTTCTCACATACAAAAAACTATATGTTAAAACTTTTTTCGTTCTTAATATAGACTATATTTAGTGTCGATATGTGTTGACTTTACTTTCAAATAGCAGATCTCTGTGACCGGATATAGTTTTTTGGCTTAGTGAACGTCTGTCTCTGCTCCGATCAGGAGTTGCAGCCCGCAGCCCCCCCGCCCGGACGCCGCGAAACCACGCGACCCGTCCTGTAACACGGAGCCCGTTTCCTAAACCAAGCTAAATGTATGTATGCGAGTGCATAAAGCTGAGTTCTGATCGGTCATAACAACATCGACTTTTGGTGATGATTAAATCGTTTACTGTGAAATGTACAGCATACTTTTGGCCATAATCTCGCAGCCCTATAACTGAGATTTCATCAAAAATGTTCTCTAGCAAGTGTGCAGAGTAATTATGATTTAAAATAGCAATTTGAAGGTTGGATATTTGTAAACATTTTTGTGTGTACATTAATAATTTAAGATCTAAATGAATTCAAATTAAGTAATTTGTANAATGGAGCAGTTGCTTTAGGGCCTCATATACAGTATAGCCCTTAAGGTAAAATCATGAGATCTTCGACCCCCCCCCCACCCCCACCCTTCCACACAGAATTTAACCCCTGCTTATAGCTATATAATGTAATCAGTAGGGGAGGGATTTGATGTTTGAGCAGTGGTGAAGAATGTCATTTTCCATTAGGTAACGGGTATAACACCTTTATAGCACTGTGGTTATTGGATTTATTTTATACTCATTGGCTCCCTCATCATCCTCTCTCACTCTCCCTTATTATAACTTCAACTGTTTCTTTCCCACTAAGCTCACACTCTTCATCAAACAGATGACTAGTTAATAATTAAACACAGATCTATAAAAGTGAAGTTTTCAGCAATAACACCATGCCTCATGTTCCTCTTTTTAGTTCTCCATCAGAACTACACCCAGTACATCCCACTGTCCATCTACGATCTGCAGACGTGGATGGGGAGCCCGTCCATTTTCGTCTATGACTGCTCCAACGCAGGGATCATCGTCAAGTCCTTTAAACAGTTCGCCCTGCAGAGAGAGCAGGAGCTGGAGGTGGGCAGCACACGCACGCACGCACGCGCACGCACACATGCACGCACACATGCACACACACATGCACACACACATGCACACACACATGCATACACACATGCACACATACACACACACATACACACACACATACATACACACACATGCACACAC